GCGGAGATACCAGAAAGCCGGTCACGAAAGCTCGCCTTCTCGCTCTTACCCTCTCTTTTCGTTTCTTCGGTCGTCTTTCAGCGAGGAAGTCGTTGAATCGCCACGACTCGTCGTCATGAGTCATTGATTCGCGTAAGAAGCTACACCGGATACCGTACTCATACTTACGAAAGGTCCGGGTCGCGCTATCAGCGCGACATTGGGGCGTATTTGCAACACCCCCTCCGCCGTTGACAATAATTTGAATGCGGAAAATACCGAAAGAAAGAAACATATGCAAGTCTGTCAAGGTCGTCGCAAAGGAGACCGACAGGACGATAATGCAGGACTGAATGTCCGTGTTCAGGAAACCACAGGGGGGCAGGGAAACTCGTACCGGTCCCCGTTATCGTAACAAGCTCGATAGGTTGGAAATAGAATCTTGAATGTGTATGCGATGGCTTCACATAAATTCTCTTTCTCGATCTATACGACAATAAGATTATAATATGAAAACAGAAAAAAACACATTTTACTTGACCAACCTTACTGTTACTACTAAGCTTATCTTTGGCACAATCAAGTTTTAATAAAATATTGTTCAAGATTTCCTTCTACATTTCATTTTGTGATAAAAGTATAAGAAAATTGTTAAACTTTACTCGAGCCAATTTACTATAAATGCAGCCTATCTTTGAAACAATCACATTCTAATAAAATATTACTCGCGGTTTTCTTCTACACTTTATTTTGATAAAAATAATATAATAGAAGTGCTAAAACATTATATTTAAGTATTTTACTCTATTTAAAATATCATTTAATACATATATTATCATCTATATTTCGCTTTAAAAATAATAGACGAAGAAACCATTAAAACTTTATTCGAACAGACTGTGATAACCAACCACAGCCTATCTTTGGCGCAGTCAAGTTTTAATAAAATATCATTCAAGATTTTCTTCTACTTTATTTTGATAAAAAAAGACGTTTACAGTCTAAAGTCATGAAATCATAAAAGGAAAGATATTATATTCGTTAATATTGATTTGTCTATTTTCGTTAATACAAAACCCTTAAAAAGTATAGATCTCAAACTTGGATCGTCTGAATGTTCAGACCTTGTCTGGATACTAAGTATGATCCAGCTTGCGTGAGACTTACAATCAAATAAAACCTTATCACTCTTACCAGCACAACATCCCTCTTTCGATAGACTGATGGTTCTGATTGTTAACGAATATTTCATGTGCGTAGGAAACCGTCAGAACGACCAATGGCCAGTGATGGTTTGGTTCCATGGTGGCGATTTCAACACGGGAACTCCAGCGATCTGGGACGCCTCTATATTCGTTTCCAAACAAAAGGTTCGACATTGCATTACGCGGACGAATACTTGCAAAATGGCCGGAATCTAAGATTGAAATTAACGTGACCCGGTCAGCGATCTAATCGATACCGATACAATCACGATATCTGGGAAGAGAGGATGATTAACGTGTATTTTTAACGGGTGTTCAATCAATTCCTCGGACATTTACTGAGCGGACGTAAAATCGAAGGAAATCAAATCAAACCGGGCCTTTCCTTTTCCTCATCTCGCGTGCCATTATTTCTAGCATAGAACCGCACCCTTTGATATTCGCCCGCGATACATTAGTAATAGAGCTTTCGTTATACATCTGATGGAATGTACATAATGCGGTATCGTTTACGGCTCTTAGGAATTCACCGCGGGGAAAGGAGAACAAATTGATCGCTTGCGTGGCACGAATTACGAAATACTAAAGTAAATCTTCGAAACTTTCGGTAACGATTCCGGGTGAGATTTTATCGCGCGCACGCTAAAAAAAAAAGAAAGAGAAAAGAAAGAAAAGCTGTAACAATCCGTGAGATTAAACAGGGGCGACTTTTGCGGTCGGCAGGTGCTAGTGGTGACGGTGGCGTATCGATTAAACATCCTCGGATTCTTCACGACGACGGACACCGAGGCGTCCGGCAATTATGGCATGCTCGATCAGATCGCCGCCCTTGACTGGATAAAGCAAAACATCAAGTACTTTAACGGCTCGCCCAGCAATATTGTCATCTACGGTCACAATTCTGGTGCCATAAGTGTAGGACTGCATATGCTCAGTCCTCTCAGTAAAGGGAAGTTCCACAAGGCGATCGCTATGAGCGGAGATGCCATCAGCTCTGTTGGCACGCTAGAAAGAGAGAAGCCAGTCGTTGACATCATAGCCGACAGATTCGGCTGCGTTCGACAACCGACCCATATGCTGATGGTATGCCTACGTCGACTAGACGCCGATTTCTTGATCAAGCACTCATCTGACATCGAGAGTTGGGGCCCAATCGTCGACGCCGAGACCAACAACGAGACGGAACCATTTCTCGCGCAACATCCGAGGGACATCTTGGAAAATGGTAATTGTGAAAAAGACCTGATAACGTTATACAACTCTTTTTATATGAATCTTTAAAATCAATCCAAAGATAGACGGAGATATTTAAAAGGCATCATATTAAACTAAAATTTCTTTTTTTTTCTTACTATAAAACTTCGTTTTATATTTTAACACTAATGTTTACTTCTAGTAATGCATATTAAATTTAATTTTGAATTAATTTAATTTTTACCTTTTTCTAATTTTCATGATTAGAAAAAGATAAAGAATAAATTAAATCGAGATATTAACATTAACATTGAAAGAAATAAAAACACAAGAGAAAATTTAAAGATACGCGAAGATATTTTAGAAAAGCATATTCAAATGTTTTTTAAATATTTAGTTTTTAAAAGTTTATTTAAATTCTCTCTCTCTCTCTCTCTCTCTCTCTAATATTCTTTTAGATATCCTTTCGATCTTTATATTTCTTTCAATGATTTAAATTTTTCCTTAACTTTAATAAAATAATGAATTAGGTAACGTCAATGCGGTGCCGCTGATGGTCGGCTACACGAATAACGAGCAAGTTTTGGCGTATATGGATCTTATCAGTGATAAGAATTCAGAAGGTGGACTCTCTTCGGAGAACTTCGAGATGATGATCACAGACGAGTTCACGGCGGCAGTGCAGATTCCAGATGATAACAGCACCTGCGAGTCGAAGCCCGAGATGGTGACCAACGCGGTGCTATTCTTCTACAGACCATATCCACCCACGACAAACATGACGGTGTACCGCGATAGATACTTGGACCTGCAAACGGAAAAGAATTTCGCGGCTGGTCTGACAATGCTGGCCGATAAAGTGGCGAAGAAAAAGACGACGGCTTTCGTATATCGGTTTGACTATCGTCCCAAGACGCAACCGGTTACAAAGGACGTTCCAGAATGGGCTGGTGTACCGCATATGTTTGAGCTTCCATTTGTCTGGGGTTTACCACATCTGACGAGCGTCGGTGCGACGCAATGGAATTTCAACGACAAAAGGATGTCCGAGTCGATGATGACGATGATGGCAACGTTCGCCAAATCCGGGGATCCTTCCTTCGTTGAGAGAACAGTAACGGTCAAATGGGAGCCCTACACACAGGACAATCCGAGAATTCTGATCATCGATAAAAATATCGAGATGAATGAGCCGGACGCAGTGGACTACAAGGCGCTCGCATTCTGGAACGAGTATTATCCGCAGGTCATGATGGAGGCGACGAACAATTGTTGCAACATCACGAGCATGGCGACGACATGGAGGATATTCTCTCATAGCGTGTGTCTCAGCGGCGTGATGGCTACGGTGGCGTTTCATCGCTTTTGGTTCTAGCTACGGTCACAGCGTGAAATAAAAAATTAAATACTGAATTTAAAAAAAGAAACGTGTTATTGCGCTCGCTGTTGTATATTTTTAATAGACCAATAACGAAAGAAGACGAGACAGCGTTGTCGGATTTTGCAATTTTATAACAAGATCTCTTCCCACACTCTACTTTTTAGAAGCAAACGCAGTAACAATCTTGTTACACTCTTGTAGAATACATATCGCGAAATTCGCATTTTCTCTGTAAATAGATCCTGCGTACATTTCGCGATTATTTCACAATTTTGTTGTACGCATTTAATTGAGAATTCTCGCACTCGTACGTACGTATCTATTGCGATATGGTAGTAATACATTAAATTTTTTCCTATGTTCGCACTTGATATCTCAATTACATTGCGTATATCACAAAGTTATTTTATTCCGTTCTTCATATCTTACAAGTTATTTAATGTAGATTTATATGAAACAAGGAGGAAATTATCTACAGTCTAATCAGGCGAACGGCGGAACATAGTTCACAAACGAGACAAAGGGGGCTCGGAATGAAATAAAATGAAATCCAGGTTGCATTACAAGAGTAGGAAACTTGGGCCCTTTTTTTTTTTTAACATTCATTGATTTTTTATTTGCCTTAATACGGAGAGATATAGAAAAACATACTTTGTTTGAGAAACAAACAGTTCGATAACTTATGAATATTTTGATGATCCGATAATAATAATTAATATTAATAATAATAATAGCAATAATGTTCAAGTACCATCTATGTATAATTATCATATTATATAAGAGAGAGAGAGAGGTGCGCGGCGAGAGCGCGATGCATGGGGGCTGGTGGCCTGCGCACGCGCACGTCCACAAACGTTTCTTTTTTTCTTATCTCTTCCTTTCTCCTAAATATATACTATTAATTAATCATTTTCCCCTTCATTTATTCATGCAAAACTCCTACAGTGATAACCGATGCTGCGGGGTCTCGTACCCTACTTTGTGCGCCATTGCTTGCGCGTGCACACGAGCCATCCCGGAACCAATGTTATATACAATATTTCCTTCCGCTTATCGCTGCGTTCCTTTGCACGTTCTCTTCGTTCTTCGCTCCGCTGCGTTACCTTGTGCCCTTATATGCCCTTATTCTCCCGTCTCTCTACCATCGTCTTACAACCATTCGGATTTCAATATCGTAGACTCTCGTTTTACTGTCGCCTAATATTCCGTCAGCCCCCTCCTCCTCTTTTGTCATTAGTATCTTTCTTGTTTTATAACCGCTCCGGTCCTTTTTTTTTTTTAATCCACTGGTATCCTCGGATTTTCATGTAGGAGAATATGGGCTCCGCCATATATACCTTACAAAAGTAGGCACAGCGATTTCTTCTTCTGCTTCATCTTCTTCTCTGGCGATTTCTTGTTTATTTGTCGCACCAGGTCGTAGAAAATCTGAAAGCAAAAGATGACAAGTTGTTAAAACTTGACTGCGTTAACTCTATAGGAATTTACCGATTAGAATACGATATTATATATTAGCATTGTACAAAGTATTGCAGCTAATTACTTTTACTAAAAAAATAAGACGCGCGCGCAAGCGATAAGATTGTAAAATATGATTATAAAACGCTGTTTAAATCAGAATAAATAAAATTAAGAGTCAACTTACATCGCGAACGTTAATTTTAGCTTTGGCAGAGGTCTCCATAAACACGCAATTAAATTGCCGGGCAAGGTTGACACCCTGATCCTTTCCTACTACCCTCTCATCTTCCAGGTCGCACTTGTTACCTACTAGCACCATCGGCACATCATCTGTGTCCTTTACTCGCAAGATCTGTTCTCTGAGGTCTTGCAGGTCGTTGAAGGTTGATTGTGCTGTTATCGAATACACTAACACGAAGCCTTGCCCGTTTTTCATATAAAGGTCCCTCATGGCTGTGAATTGTTCCTGCGAACAAACAAGAATATGATAACGTCACTCAAAAACGCAATCCGTATTGTTACAATCATAAAGTAAAAGAGAAAGTTACGCGACGCGTTAAGAGATAAATGAAACAGCATGCTACTTCATAAAGACTTTCACATTATGTGAGTAAAACGGACAATATAGAAAAAAGTCAAAATTAACACTCGGACTAAAATTTATAAAATGAATTTCTAGTTTTAACAGTATATATCCGCGTGTTCGAAATAAAGAAACAGCAAATGTATGTTACGAAGGAAGTTACTTACCGTGCCGGCTGTGTCTAGAATTTCTAACATACATTGCTGACCGTCGACCTCGACTTGCTTGCGGTAACTGTCCTCGATCGTCGGATCATACTTTTCTACGAAAATTTCTTGTACAAACTGGACAGTGAGGGCGGACTTGCCTACACCTCCACTGCCCAGCACCACTATTTTATATTCGCGCATCTCCTTGCCCTACCTACTGCCTATGGGCCTGATCACAGTCGAGGGGTCACCGAATCCGCCACGTTTTGCCTTGATTTGCTTTCAATGAGACGGACCTGAAACAATAACATGCAACCGTCTAGTTAGAGGCCATGAACATTACACAATGGGTTAATTTTAATGACACACCTTCTTCAGGACGACTCAGCCTTTATGACTCAATGCTTTTTATGCGAGTACACGGTGATTTCACGCGAAGTAAAACAAAGGTCATATACGCGATTATGGTAAATTACCAGGATCGTTATACATATACAATGGTAATCACGTTCTTCCGCGAAGAATAATTATCTTCGCAATTTCTAATATTATATCGGTCAAGAATTCGTTTCTTTAAGTTAAAAAAAGAGAGTTATTCGTAAATATACATCGAGAAAAGTGTTAATTTGTGTTTATAATTGAGTGTGGTAAAATAATTATAGTTAAAAGCTCTATTTTTTTAATGATTATTATCGCTATAATGTTAGTAATAATAATTATATTTAAAGTTGTATATGCATACATATATGTATATATATATATAATATATATATGCATACATATATGTATATATATATATATATA